ACCAGCCTCTGTGGTTCCCAAGTGAGTCTGGCTCCCATGGAAATGTGGAAATCCTGTGGCCCCAATTGTTAGGTGTAGAAGTAGGGAGCCGTGCCTTAGAGAAGCAAGAAGGAGACAGTGTGGTCAGAGCAGGATCCTTGGGTGCTGCGACCTTCACGCTGAGCCCAAGTGGAAGGGACAGTGCTGGGGCAAGAGGGGAAAAGCCAGTGTCGGCCTGGCATCTGGCTTGCTGTGTTAGGGGATTGGGGAAGAGGGATGTGGCGGGAAATGCTCTGAGCGGTGTCTGGAGATGCCCCTGAAGTTGCCATGTGGAACGGAGAGACCAGGTGACAAGACAGAGGTGGTGGTGGCTGCCCACTGCAAGATGGCTGGGGGATGGAGGGGAGATGCGATTCGGCAATAGAGAGACAGGGAAGATGAAAGAGGGATTCAGGTTGTAAGGGACCAGGGCTGGCCCTGCCTGCTGTGGGACAGGCTGGATACCACCTGGACATCAGCTCCCTGGCCTGGAGAGCCCTCTAGAGGCGGGTGCTGGGTGGCGGGTGCAGGGCCTCAATCCTGGGGTTGCGTGCTGTGATGTGGATCAAGGGCCCTGTGATCCCGGACATGCCCAGCTCCCACCGTCCACCCAGGCCAAGACCAAGGGGCTGCAGAGCGGGGTGGACATCGGCGTCAAGTACTCGGAGAAGCAGGAGCGAAACTTTGATGACGCCACCATGAAGGCGGGGCAGTGCGTCATCGGACTCCAGGTGGGTCCGCCCCTCCCACGTCCGGGGGGTGGCGCGGCGCTTCAGGCACAGCCAAGGCCTGGGCCTCCCAGGGCGGGCAGGGACGGCCTAACCTCCCCACCCCTCACAGATGGGCACCAACAAATGCGCCAGCCAGTCAGGCATGACAGCTTATGGCATGAGACGCCACCTGTATGATCCCAAGAATCACATCTTGCCGCCCATGGACCACTCCACCATCAGCCTACAGATGGGGACCAACAAGTGCGCCAGCCAGGTGGGATATGCCCTGCCCATCGTGCTGTCAGACCCGCCCACACTGCCAGGCCCGCCCACAGTCCCTGCCCCTTTGCTGTGCCAGGCTCCTCCCCACACCCCTCCCCAGCCCCCCAGACCACACCGGGCCACACTTGGGCCCTGTGCCCCATACCCCGCTGGGCCCCCACCCAACACGCCTTGCCAGATCCCTCTGTACCTTTTTCCACCATGCTCTCCCATTCCCCCCACCCCACCCCAGTATTGTCAGGCTTCCTCCACCACGCCCCCAAGACGCTGCCCAGGGCTCCCAGCATCCTGTAGCTTTCCTCTGGAGCTGGCTGTGCTGTGTGCCCCTGGGGTTCTTGCTGCCCCTCTCTGTCCTGAGCCTCCCCCTAAAGAAATCCCAAAGCCCACCCAGCTCTGACAGTCCTCAAGCCCCCAGTTCCCACTCTTTCTGTGAGACTGCATGCATCCACGTTGCATCTCTCGACAGTGGACAGTCAGGTGCTGGGCAGCCCGGCAGGTCCCTCCTGGCCCTGCAGGCAAGGGA